TTTCAAATTAAAAATTTAAGAACAAGTTATATATTTATTTATATTATCCTTAAGAAAAATATGATAAAGAGATACATTTACTGATAAGATAATTACTTATAATAAATAAATAATGATAATGTTAAAATGAAAAAGTATTTATTTATTTTAAAAAATAAAAAACTACCAATTATTTTATAATAAAACAAGTAAAGAAATTTATTTAAACAGTGATGACGATAATTAAGAATACTCCATAAATAATAGAAAATTTTATTAATTACTGTAATTATTATGTATTTTATTATTATATATATATATATATATAAAAACAACCTAAGCATAGTAAAGTTGCAAAGAGAAATTGTTAAAAAAGCCGATTAAGATTTGAGACTTGTAGTTGAGGCCACAGTCAAGTTGGACGAAGAAATGTGCACCATTAACTTTTGAAAGGGTAGATGAAAGGTGGATTCCATAATAAAACTAAACGGTTGTCAAGTCAAGCCTACTCTTTCTTATTTTTTATTACAGAAAAGTCAAGTCTAGTGTTCATCGACCAGAAAAAAATAACTCGTTTTTTATACCAAACGGCAGGGTATAAAATCGGCAACTCAAGAGCCGTCTGTCACGGTACGCGAGTTCGGTGGTGAAGTCGAGGGCATCGTGGCACGGAGCTGCAACCACGGGCACACAGGGGGTGTGTCCAGCATCCAGAGGATATGCTAAGCAACGTTGCGGAGTGCGAGCGCGAACACGAGCACGGGTACAAGTGGAAGCGCAAGCAGAAGCGTGGACGCGGGCATGCAGGACGAGGGTGTTGGTGTCGCAACACGGGGTTGCGGCTACGACACAAACGAATACGAGGACGCAAGTGCAAGGTGGATCGCGCAAGACGTAGCGGGCCTTGCCAGCGAATGCGTTGATACCGGGGCCGTGGCGTGAAGTTGCGAACAGGACGTGTGAGGGTGTGCGTAAGCAATCGGGGGCGACATGCGTGGGCATGCGAAAGTGTCTTGGGTCGAGACACAGGTGAACGCGCAGGCAAGCTAGGTCAAGACGTTGCTCGCATGGGGGCGATATGGCTCGAGGCACTGGGATGTGCGAGTGCAAGCACGGGCGCGGGCATGGGCACGAGCGCGACATGGAACGCTAAGGAGGCGAGCCTTGCACGAGTTGGCAGCGTCCATGCCAAGGCCGTGGCACGGGGTCGCGGTCAAGCCATGCTGGAGCGCTAGAGCAGCCCAGAAAATTCCAGAGCAGCCTGGGAGCAAGGTTTTGAAAATCGGACCGGATCGACTGGTCGAACCGATTGAACCGGCACCCGATAGTATAAACGGTTCGATTCTATCCTTTAAACCGTTTAAAGATCAAACCGTTTGAAAACTGATAAGAACCATTGGAACCGCTCAAACCGAAAAACCGTTCGACCGGACGGTTCAATGCCTGAGAACAAAAGCTTGAGAAAATTGTGCCCGTAAAGCTTGAACTTGCAACCTTGAAGTCCTTTTAGTTTATTCCAACCCTTTGCCACCAGGACAATGCACTCTGTTTGTCAATGGATGCTTGAAAATTTATTTAGTCTATTTTTAAAACCATAATTATTTAAAGTTTGTTCATAAGGGTACTCGAACTTGTGATCTTTGGTATGAGAAAACAACCAACTACCATCGCACTCGATGGATATCTTGTGAAATACTTTACAAAATAATTTATTTATACTATATTAATGAACCGACGGTTTTACTGGTTAAACTGGTTAGACCGGTCAAACCGTGAACCGGAAGTCAAAATGGTTTGACCTCCGGTTCGGGTTTAAAAACATTGCCTGGGAGGTCTAGATAAGGTCCAAAACAGTGATTTGGATAAGGATGTGAACAGTGTTCCGGATAAGGATGTGTACAGTACCAGACAGGGGTCTGGAATGGGATTAATGGGCCAAGCCCAACCTGGGGTTTCTCCTAGGGCCTTGTAGATAATTCTAGAATAAGAGATTCTAGAATAATGTAGGCTTAGGAGGGAGAATGGAGAATGTTCTGGAATTGTACATATGAGGGGATTGGTGTGGAGTGTTCTAGAGACTCATCTGCAGAGGGGCTGAGCCTGATCTCTTTTATAAATAGGGTTGGCCTTCGTAGAAGAGAGGCAAAAGGGGAGTCAACCTTGAGAGAGTGAGCTGCTAGGTGAGTGAGTGCATTGAGGGGCTTTGTACTCAACTCTTGTACACTCCCTTGCGATCTTAATAAATTCTCTTCTTCTCCCAACTTCCTACCTTCATTTGTGTGTTGCTAACCTCAAGCCTAGTAAGAGGGCCATGCCAGTGTTGGGGAAAGGCTGACTTGGTTCGGGTTTACGGGGTTAATTCTGAGCTAAGTGCCGCACGAGGTCGAGCTAGATTCTGCCTCTGAGACAAGTGCCATCGGAGCTACTCTGACCCTGTGACACGTAGCTCCCTTCTTCCTCAATTCAGTAATTTTTTGTTTTTCCATTTTTTTCTCCAACCCTTTTTGTTATGTTTTTCTTTTTTGGTCTTTTCTTTTCTTTTTGATCTTTTTTAAGAGGTTTTTTAGAGGATTCTTAACTTCTTCGAAGGTCACTTTTAATGAGAGTCATCTCTTTACATGTCATTAACAATTTATTAATTTAAGTAAAAAGAGTTTAGTTTTTTTT